GTTGTACTGGCAGACAACCGGGAGGTACAAAAGTGGTGGGTGACAGATGTGGAAGCCGAGCGTGATGCGATAAGGATAAGGCAGGGTAGCTGCGTCGATAGTGGTTGATCTGCAATGTCAATGTTTGGTAGTCAGGCGTGCCATGTTGCCAGACAACCAAGACCATTCGCGATCAAGGGAACCGGTGACGAACAAAGCCTTTTGATCAAGTGCCGAGCTGACTGGCCTTACCTACCTTACCTATCCATCCTCCAATCCGCGAATACCCCTCGGTTCCTCCTCTGTTTGTCGTCCTTGCCTGAGAGCAAAACCTGGTCTCACTCTGATCCTCTTGTGGGCATCGTAGGCTTCTAGCCCCGTCGGCCCTTCCTTTCAATATCCAGGACTCTTCACCTCTCCAGGCACAGATCCAGGTGCAGGGCCAAAGACACACCGACCAACGACCAACGATACAGCAGTGGCATCCCGACACCAGTTCTTTGTCGTCCTACCTTATGTCTTTGACATAAACCCCTTTTGCGCTGATGTAGTACTTAGACCCAAGCATGAACACCTCGACCAAATCCAGCTCGGGGAATCGGCCAAAATCGCTATCCCCAGGGTCCAAGCTTGGGCTGAAACCCGGTATGCAATGGCCAAGTCAGATTATCATTCACATATCCGCCGTCACAATAAGAGTTGACCACGGACAAGCCAACAGTTACCAGTCTCGTTAACAACTATGACAAGCAGTTGGTAGAGCAGCATGACGACTTGCCAAAATTCGCCGCCTCAATCCGGGAACTGCTGTTTTGCTGATTCCTGAGGGAGCCAAACTAATGGACTAGGTATCTCTTAGTCTGATCTTCCCATCTGCGGTGAGGTGAGGCGAAGCCACATGCACTTGACACCAAGACGCCCTAGGTCCAGTCATGCTTCTATTCCACTGATTCAGGACCGTTGCGGTCAAGATTACCGGGACCAGCACCACAGGAACAACCTCTCGATAGCGATACGTTGCCCTGCGCAATCCTCTGGTGCGTGCTGGATCTGGCAAGTCTTAGCCTGCACAAGCTCCAAGCTATCCCTCCACACTCTGCGACCATTCGTGCATATGCACCCACCAGGACAGGTACGTGGCGGAGAAGATGATTGTTGATCGGAACCATATCTCTGCCCGCCGTGTTGCGGTACCGAGATTCTTAACGCCGACCGTACGTTGCGCTTAGTCCATGTGACCGAGAAGACCGTCTTCTCGCTCTTACCAGTCACTTTATTAGTGGTTCTCTCAGCAGTCTCGGCACTGCTGTCTTCTTCGGGTATTTCTCACCCATACAGAAAGCTTTCAACAAGAGTAATACGAAGCAGGCACGGAGGCTCGAGAGAGCCGGTGTCCGGCTTTTGTTGTCATCCGCGTGTGTAGGTACCTCGGGATGACGCCTTGGTGGATGCTGCTTGCGCCGCACCGCGAGGCGGTACAAACTTCATAGTCCTGGATCTAGGACTCAACCCCTGCCACCACACTTCACAGTGCCTTGCTGCCAGGGACTGTGCGTCGGGGCTGGACGCTCGGCTCCTGAGCCGCTGCGCGCCTGTGGATTGACTGATGTGACATGCCACTGACTGACCGCGACTCTGAATCCTAATCAACGGCACTAAGAACAGCTTCCGCCAGCTGACGACCAAAATGTTGAATACGGGAAGGGAGCAGCCGCACCATCTTTAGGAAGGAAATAGAGCAAGACAGTCAAAAGGGTGTGCAGATGTCTCGGTCACCAACCACCTTGAAACTCTTGTCCAGCCTCGAGTCCCAAGATCTGGGAAAATAGGGGTCTAACGAACAACCAGCTTTTGACACCGATGCTGTACGTTCTTGTGACCATGCGTGCCATGTCCTCCAGCAGTGTTGGTTTGAATGCTGAACGACCAAGACTGTATCGACAGAGACCGAGGCGAATCATTCATTTCGTCAAGTCAAAAGCAACCATCTGCTGGCTCTATCGGTGGGTTTAGACTAAGATTCCACAAGCCACTCCGAGTCGTCGTCCGCATCTTCCCTTTCCCATGGCTATTCTGGGACATGGCGCATGAGGGATCATCGTAGGTGCTGCATAATGGCATCGTTGGCCTTGGATAGGGCTCGGACGATGGTTATGGTCGCAGCGCAGTGCAGCCGCTTGATACAGGGAGATTGCAATAATTGATGGCTTGCAAATCGTCCAGTGGCCCCTCGTTTTCTCTTTCGTCAACACCCGAGAAGCCGTATGGATATACTTTGTTGCCGGAGCAAGCGCCGGCACTGAGCCTACATGCGCATCAGAACTTATCTCACCTTGTTAATGTCACCCAGCCAAGTCGCACTGGATAGCGGATACTTACCGCCATCTCCCCTGGGACCGGGGGATGTGGGGTCTGTTCATTCATCCGTCCATTGCAAGCTTGGCACCGACACAATGGGATGGTCTTTTCGCTTCCCAGTTCCAGGGCAGCTGTCAGGTGGCCCCTGCGCTGCGTTGCGTCCCGGCACCTCTGATTATCCGTACCGCTCCATGAACCCACTCAGACCCCGGCCCGTAGCTGCAGGGGCCGTTGAAGCTTCCCAACCCGTCTGAAATTTCCAAATCGTTAATTCAAGGACGTCGACGACAGACCACCGCGGCTCCAGCTTCGCCGACGCCTCAATCCACCCCCGAACCCGCTACCCAACCGGACGCCGACCCCGGCGATCTCGACAACACGACCGAACAGGTTCCAACAAATCCGAAAACCCTTCCCAATTGGCCGGGAGCCATCCGCCAACGATGCAGAGAATCATCAAGCGCACGGTGCAGGCCGAGAAGCAGGTTGCCCGGCGCATGAAGAAGCGCGCCCGCGGCGAGGGCGGTGCCGAGAAGGCCCAGCGCTTCAGGGACCAGAAGAACATGCTCACGGAGCTCAACCAGGACATCAAGGCGGCTCGCCTCGCCCGTCAAGAGAAATGGGATCTCGGCCCCCTCGCCCCGCGCCGCGACATGTTCGAGACCTACGGAGCCCTCCAGACGAATCGCCAGGGCCGTTCGACGCCGCTCAAGCCCGACGAGATTGAGGCACGGTGTGAATGGGCCGGCGGAGTCGAATACCTCAACCTCGCCGTCAAGGATCGTGTGGTGCTTCTCGAGGGCCCCGAAAAGGGCAAGATTGACCGCATCGCGAGCATCAACCTCGAGTACGGCACCGTTCAGTTGGAGGAGATTGGAAAGGTGAGGCTACAAAATCAGATTCTCTCCCGCCAGGGCACCAAAGCAACATTGGAAAGAGAGAGGGAGAGAAGCTCGAAGCTAATCAATCGCCCAACAGGTCACCGTCCACGTCCCCGAATCCTTCCAGAACCTCCTCGACGCTCCCACAACACAAAACGCAGCCATGAACATCCCCATCTCCGCGATCCGCCTCGTCCACCCCATCGTCGACCCTGCGACCGGCGTAGCTCGCGACGTCGTCGTCCGCCAGCTTGCCCGCGGGCCCGTAAAGTGGTCCCGCACCACCGGCTGGCGCGCCTGGACCCGCTACATCCCCGGCGCCAACATCGCCATCCCCTGGCCCGAACGCGAGGCCGAGGTCCGCGAGGACCAGCCCGGCGACACCCTCCGCCTCGACGCCGAAGCCGCCACCTTCGTGCCCACGCTCCTCTCCCCGCCCATGCCGGCCTCCGTCATCGACGAGCTCCGCAACAAGTACTCCCGCTTCCGTACCCGCCACGAAGACGAATACATTATGCGCAAGGAGGCCGAGGAGGCCGAGAAGAAGGCCCTTAAGAAGGCGTCGGCTGATGCGCTGGCTTCTATGCGCACGCCGCTGCAGGAGCTGAACCGCGAGCTGCGCGATGCCCGTCGCGCGCGCGGCAAGCCCGAGCTGTCGTCGGATATGCTCGAGAGGATTGGCGAGATTATGGCGAGGAACAAGGCTACCGTTCAAGGGGACACTTCCGCGTGGAACGTGCCTACGCCCAAGTTGTTTGAATCCAAGACGGCGTCGGCGGCGACAGAAGCACCAAAAGAAACTGAAAGTCATCCTCCACCTCAATAAAGGGGGCAATCGACCTTCACGAGGAGAGGGGGGGCAAAATCCGGCGAGAGGCCAGGGAGATTGTAGCATGTATGAATAGCCATAAGAGTTGTATTTGTAACAAAGTTGCGGTATGATACGTTCGGTCTAGGGTGATGGTCAAGTGAGGCAAACATGTCAGCCCCGTGGGAGTTCCAATTCAACAGTCATCATGACTCTCGGATACCAAGCTTGGCTAAGGTGTTGATTGTTATGTCTCGCGGTCTAAACTTATTCTCCCGCATGTTCAAGCTTATATTACCGGACTTTTCTGTCCTTCTTCATGTCCTGCTTCCTTTCTGGTCTTTTCCCCGTCCTTTCCCGTCCTTCTTCCTGCCCATATTCCTACTGATTTTACTGATCCTGCCACCAGTCTGATATCTATATAAACCCACCACCCCTACTCAACCTCTAAACTCCCTCTACGACCACGACTCCGCCCACCTGGGCCTATTACCACGCAACAACCCCTATTTAGCGTGCGGGCATGCCGCCGCTACTACTACGAGCAGCACGACGTCGGTTCATGACTTCAACCAGTGGCCAACAATCCGATCATCCGCACCCAGAGGAATCACCGGATAATGGCAGCAATCCTGCTGCCCCGTCGTCCCTTGGGCACTCGCGCGACGATGCAATGATCTCCTTCACAGAGGAGTATAGAAGATGCCACCAAGAAACCACGCGGGGCTCTGACCCGGCCTTGGTGGCGCAAGATTCTGGGCCATGCGATGCAAACTGATAGGACTCTTCTTGGTAAACCTGTTAGTATACACGTCAGCGGGGCAGGTGTTGCAGCCGGTACGAAGCCCAATGATCATATATTGACTGCGTAATGGGGACATGGAAGGAGGACGTTGGTGGGCAGAGCTTGATTGGTCTCACGACCGCGTTCAGAGATGAGAGACTTAGTCGACGGGGACCCGATTGATCTCGAACTAGGGTTGAGGTTATAGATGAGTCTCGCGTGCTGGGGGGTGGGAGGCGCATATGGTGGTCTGAGGTGAACTCCCAGGTTGCAGCGACACAGGAAAGCGATACATCCAGCGTTACGCATCAGCTACTACGACAATGACATGAACATGGAAAGTTATGGACACATTCGAATTGACCTGCTAAGCAAGGCTCTCGTACTCATGACCCCAGCAACGTCAACTTCTGAAAGGCACTTAGCGCAGGCGGCTCCATCTTCTTCGTCCTCGCCTCAAGGTGCTCCTGGAATACGGCATCCCCGCCAGAAGCAAGGTACGTCTCCCCGTCTAGCCCGACAATAACACCACCCTCTTGCTCGGCCTCCTTGACGGCAAACACCTCGCGCACAGCAGCCTTACACCCTTCAACGACCTCGGCCACGAGAACCTCGACAGCCCTCGCGCGCTCCGTCATACCCCTTCTCACAAGCGCAAAGACCAGCCTTCCAACCTCGTCCTTGGCACCGCCCTCGACGCGCTCGACGAGGCGCCGGACGCTGTTGACGAGGTACTCCTCCTCGTAGACCGTCCCCTTCCTTCCGCGCGCGCGCTTCTTCTCCTCGCGCTTGCGGTTCTTGGACGTCGCGCGCGACACGCCCGTCCCGGCCGTCCCGATACTCCCGTCTTTACCCGTGTACCGCGTGAACAGACTCGCCGAGGTACTCACGCGCGAGGTAGCGACCGACACGTCGTCGGGGATATCGACGCCCGTGCCGCCGGGCCTCTCCCCCTCGTAGAACGCGAGCGGGTCCTCGGCCGCTTTGCGGCGGAGCTCCGCGATGCGGGGCACCTGCGCCAGAAGCTGGGCCTTGCAGTCCGCGAGGAACTCGGTGCTGCTGCTCAGGGCCTCGACGAGGCCGTTGTCGAAGACGGTCGGCAACAAGTCGACACGGCGCTCGCGGGCGATGAGGCGGAGGGCCTCAGCGAAGTGGTAGCCCTTGCAGAGGCACTTCACGGCCGTCTCGAGGGAGGCGAGGTAGTCTGCGTGGATGGTGGCCGCGGCGGCGTATTCTTTACCTTCCCAGAGGGCGTCGGCCAGGGACGAGGCGAGTTCCGCGAGGGCTTCGTCCGACGGCGGCGGAGACTGCTGTTGTGCTGCGAATAGGGATTCGCGCCAGCATGTTACGCCGGCTGCGCGGTAGCAGCTGGTGGCTTTGGCGAAATCCTGCAGCGTCTCATAGGCGAGCCCGGCGTCGCGGTACTTGGAGTTCGATTCGAGGTAGCTCGCGTACAGCCCCGTGAGGGCCTGATGGCGCGCCTGGTCGTAGCGGTAGAGGCCGAGGGCGTCCTGGTAGAGCGCGTGCTTGGTGGTGTACCTGCACAGCTCGTCAAAGGCGTCGAGAGCCTTGAGGTGCAGCAGGGCTTTCGCTCTGCGGTCGAGGTGGTCGTCAATCTCGAACTTGCGGCGCAGGTCGGAGAGGTTATGCAGGTTCTGGATGAAGGGGAGGTACTCCCTCGGATCGCGCTGGGACTGCTGGGCGACGAGGAGGGCGAGGTCGAGGTTGTAGAGGCCGAGGGCATTGTCGTAGAGGCGGTTCACATCGACAAGGAAGCAGATGTGCTCGACGGCCTTTTCGGCGAGTTTCTCGTCCTCCTGCATGAGTTCCGCGACGAGGGTGAGGCCGTCTTCGAGGGCGGGTGGGACCTTGCAAACGTGCGCGGTGATGATGTTTTGCAGGCTTGTGCTCTTTTTGGTCTGGAGGCTCTTGAGGATGGCGTCGCAGATCTTGTTGACCTTGGACTTGGAGGAGGCGTCGGCTGGAGCTAGCGTCTCTGTTGAGGGGTCGAATGATCTTGCGGAGCGCTTTGTGTCCTTGTACATTGTCTGCGTGACATCCTCGTCCCTGGGCGAGTTAGATTTGTTTTCTCAAGTCTCACGGGGGAAGATTAACTTACCTGAGAGATGACAGGAACAGATCAATGTAGGAAATATCCTTAAGCTGGTCAAGGAACAGACCGACATTGGACAGGAACTGGCTCGGCTGGTGATCGTAGAGGATATTCATGTCCACCCTCTGCGTACGGCAAAAGGCGAAGGCCCTGCCGTAGTTCTTCTCATCGACGAGCTGCCTGATGCCCGCAACAACCATGGCGCGGGGGAAGATGGTCTCTAGGTTACCTCTCGGCATCTGGAGAACCAAGTTCATATTGGTCGGCGTGGCTGTCACGAGGCGGGCGCCTCGCTCGATGCTCCGGCATCTCTCATCGATCTCTGGATCATCTCCAGGAACCTCCATCTCTGTGGGAAGAGAGTTAGTATCTATGAGCCTGGCATCTTCAGCATAGAAATAGGGGTACACGAACCTTCAGGGTCTACCAGATGTACAAACTTGACAAAGTGGTTATTGGTCGTGAAAATAATATGCGCAGGGGTGACGACAAAAGAGGTACAGTTCTTGGCCAGCTGTTTGGAGTTGGCATAGAGGTGACCGTTCCTCGTCATTCCAATCCCGACACTGCGCCCGTTGATATTGTGCAGCTCGCACCACGGCAGCTGCATCGAAAGCTGGATTCCCAACAGCAGCTCAGGGGCTTGGGTACCAGCTACCGAGTACAGCTTTCCAGAGCGGTCTTGGGCACAGGCTTCAACACCAGAGTCTCCCTCACGGCTGAACAGCGACGAGATAGTCTCCGTCGGTCTAAGTTGAGTAGCCCCTGAGTCGCTGATGGAGCTTGCCTCGATTGTGTAGCTCTCGAGCTTCAGACCTCCGTCGGAGACGAGGACGCGGCACTCTGCGGCGCCAGAGAAGACAACCTGCAAAGGCACACGGGTAATGGCGTTCGCCTCCAACTCAAGCTTGGCCTTGAGCGTGGGCTTGACTGACCGCTCCCCCTTTGTCTGCCATTCATAGACATCCAGCCCCTTTCGGTGCAACACCGCCATGAGCTTGTTGCTTGGGTCAAAGACGACGTCAAGAACACTGCTGGGGAACTCGAGCTCGAAGAGGGCCATGGGCGGAGGTACCTGGGCCGTCCGGAAGGGCGTAAGCTTGAGAGTCTGTCCGTCGATGACGGCGACGGCTCCATGGTCGTGAGGAGGGCTCAGGGAACCGCGGGAGACGGTGAAGATGTACTCGGCCACGTTCACGATAGCTATAAGCCAGTCAGCAAAGTCAAGTTCGTGTGCGAAAAGGGGGTCCGGAAACTCACATGTTGTGGCGGCCGCAAAACGCAGCGGCTTCTCGGGATGCCACGCCAACCCAGCAAACGCAGATGCCAGCGGAATCTCCTGCTTCAGATACCAGTGATAGTTGCCTGTCGTCCACAGCTGTATCCTATCACTCAAAATCACAGCCAAGACAGTCGAATCCGAGTTCCACTCCAACCGGATCTTCTCATGCAAGCTCAAGGGCCCATCGGCACACCGCACTGTAAACTGCCCATGCCGCAGCCCGTTTCTTTCGAAGAAGACGACGTCAGTCCGGTCCTCGAACCTCTGGATACCCGCAATCAGGTTTCCAGATGGTCTCCAGCTCAGCCCGCCCTCGAGGTAGTCTACAGGCTCGCTGACGCTGTCGAGCACGCCCTCGCGGGAGTACACCCGCACGACCCGCCTCGCGTCACCAGCAACGGAGTTGACGGCGACGTACGCGCCATCCCCGCGCCAGCTGACGGCCGCGGACCCGTCCTCGTTGACGCTCGGCAGGCCCTCGTCGACCTTTTCGGGGATCGTCGGGTCGCGCATCGCTTTTGCGCCTTTGCCCTGGAACTGCGTCTCCTTCTTTCCCCAGCCGACGGACACGTGCTTGGAGAGCTTGAGGTCGTCGGCCGTCATGACCACGTCGGCGATGGGGTCGAACGTCCGGCCCATAAAGACGGCGTTGCGTTCCTTGGTGACGACGACGAGGAGCTCCTCGTCCGGGGACCACCGCGTGGCGGCGATGCCAGCGTCGATGGACCCCACGATCTCGATCTGTACGTCGGCGCCGTGATCATCTTCTTGGATGGTCACAATGTCACCGCCTTCGAGGATCACGCAGGTGGTGAGAGTGTCGCTGAAGTGATGGAGGCTGACGACCCTGTCTGCGGGCAGGTCTGGGCTGGGACTCGGCGCATCCCAGCTTGTGACTGTGTGTGATTTACTATGAGAGCCATGTTAGTCACGGTCAGTCTGTCGACAATTCGAGTTTCTTCAGTATGTAAGAGCTGGTGTCATGCACAAGCCACACTGTGAGATAGAGAGATATGCAACGCCAGTGTCAGGGTCAGAATAACCCCACGACCAGGACGTGATATCAAACTGAGCCAGAATCCATGAAACATCCTAGATGACATGGGGGGTGACAACCTTCACAGAACAAGTAACATAGAAAAGAGCAACAGTGGAACAGAGTATACTGTGACACGAGCAAACAAATTCAAGAGGGTAAATAAAAAATGGCGCCACACATTTGCTGTTGCTGGTGGTGGTCCGACAGCCTCACCAGCTCAATAGTGGCTTTCGCCTCCGTCGGCCCAGTCGTGCAGAGAAGCTCGTCTTTGGCGGGGTCCCAGCAGCAGGCGGTCACCGCCGCCGAGGGGTCAACCTCTTGCTGCTGCTGCTGCTCCCAAGCGCCGAATCGAATGTTGCGCAAGTTGCGCATCTTGGCCCTCTTTCTTGGAGCGTCACAGCTCCTTAACGCATAAAAAAGTACCTTGGTCGGGAGAAGGGTTTCGTGCCGGTTCGAGTTCGGGATGTTATGCTCTGCTTCGGTCGCGAGATTTGCTTCTGTTGCTGTGTGAGTCCGTCACTGCAACTTTTTTTTTCCCTCCTAGGCTTCCCACTTGGAAAAATCTCAATGCGACAAAGCCTAGCCCAGCCCAGCCAGCCCGCCCGCCCTACGAAAGGCGGGACGAGGCGGCGGCGGCGGCGGAGGGGTAACTTGGACCCCGCCAAGGTACCGATGTACCTGACGGCGCCGGGTAAGGTACATCCATCCACCTCATCCCGTCACAGCCCACCTCAATCAGTCATTCATTCAAGCTGGAGTTCAGAAGCAAGCCCGCGCCAGCCACAACCTCTCACCTATGCTCCTCAATCTACCATGAGCTAGTGTAATGATCTCAGAGAGCGACCCTAAGAGATACGCCTACAGCTTCAGCTACCTTTAGGTGCTTTAGCCACTTGACCTTAGCTTCCATGTCTATCTAAAGCACAATTTCACCTTCCTTACATGACGGGCGCTCATCATCAGACGGAATTCCACGTCACGGCCATTTCCGAACATTCAATGTCCCATCACTTATGCAAACCAAACAAGCATGAACCTCACAAATCGAGATTGGATAAGTACATGACATAAGATAGAATAACATGGCATTGAACTCAAAGCAAGAAAAAAAAACCAAAACTCACAGGCCTCTCTCAACAGCGAAGCCCTCTCCGCATGAAGTTAAACTGGAAGGCAAGCAAACTTGCAAGCCTCGTACTAGAGTCAGCTCATTCCACCTCCATCTCAGCACACCTTCCCACCGGAACGTCACAGTGAGTGGGATGGGGTCCTAGAAGAGGCTTCAGCACCTTTTCGAGCCTCTCCCCTCCCGTCCCTCCTTCCCCCCTTCCTTGAACCGATAACCGTGACGGGACGAGAGAAAGATTGCATGATCCGGGTACGGGTACCTACCCGCCGCATAGTAATACCCGATCATAACCCATGTACCGAGGTACCTACGTAATCATGCAATGAGAAGGCCAGTCCCCGGAGGACTCCGCCCAATCACCACACGATTCCTGGTCCCCGCAGGACCCGCATCAGCGAATCACAGGTCAAGATCCAGTCATCCCCGGGGCGGCCAACATCCAGAACTGCAGTGCAGGACACGCAGTTACGGTTGTCCTCGGTATCCTTTTCCTGGACTTCCCTCCTGAATGCTGCCTCCCCGGATTTTGCCATTAGCGCATATGCTCTTTTGCGCATTCCACCTCCAATTTCTTGCAAGTCTTGTTGCCTGTCCGTCCGTGTGTCACTGGCTACTTTGCCTTAGCAAAAACCTCTCCTCCTGCTCCTACCGACGCCTCCTCAACAAGCTTTTGCTGCAGTTGCTTTCTTCCCCAACCCTTTTCCTTCTTAAAGACCTGAAGCGAAACCACCCGAACTGCTTGCCCTCCACCCCCCTTCCCCGTGCATGCCTGCCAGTCTATCTACACCTGTCGAACCAAACTCATTATAATTCTTAACCCTTGCTTGCTCTCTGCTCTTGCGTCCTCGCTTATCAAATTATCGTCCTTATCCCCAGTCGCCGTCTATACTTACCTATCTTATTATACAAGTCTCGGGAAAAAGCAAAAAAAGTAGCAATGGAGGAGGCATATAAGCAATACGCGAACCAAGCGCGTCGGAAGAACCGCTCCAGCACGAACCTCAACCACCTCTCCCTCGCCCCCTTCACCTCCCGCATGCCCCTCCAAGACGACGATGCCCTCCCTGAGCACCTCACCTCGCCGCACCATAACACCTCCTACCTCGAGGGTAAATCCGCCCCGACGACGCCCGGCCTGCTCACCCGCTCGCCCGCCCGCTCAAACTCCCACGCCCGCCGCGCTTCCGTGCCGCACGCCGACCTCCCCAAGAGCAAATCGGCCACCCACCTGACGCCCTCCTCTGCTACTGCCGCAGATAGAAAATCTCGCAGCCGAAAGGCCGTCTCGGGCACCACCTCGCCGACGGTGCGCCGGCGAAAAGATGACTTCTCGATCCGGGATCGGAATGATAGCGATTGGCTCCTCCGCACCGGCGCCCTCATCAGCAACGAGAACCGCGAATCAAAGGGCCAGGCGTGGCTGGTGTCGAGGCAGAGCTCGACGAGCCTGACGGGTATGCGGGATGCCGACGAAGAGGCTTTCGAAAGGGAATTGGCGCGGGAGCGTGAGCTCACCAGCAGACGCAGCAGCCGGCGCGGCAGTCTCGCCGACCTGGAGGGCGTAGCCTATACTCATTCCGCTCGGCCTAGTCGTCCTGGGAGTCGGTCAGCTAGCAGAGTCGGCGGCACCCGGAGCCAGATGTTGACGCCAATGGAACGTGAACGTCACTCCCTCGAAGAGGGCTACTTCCCCCGCCACCACGAAGGCGAGGACTACATCCCCGGCCCGGACTTTGTCAACCTCGACGAGCAGCTCGAGTCTTTCGACTTTGACACCACGCAAGACGACGAGGCCGCCGTCAGGAGGCTGGTCAAGGGCGAGAGGGCCGGCGGCGCCTCCTGGGTCGGGAACATCCTGGGATGGCCATTGTTCGCCGTCGAGGAGAACGAGGAAGAGTCTGACGACGAAGACGATGTTGACGGGGACGAGTTTGAGGGCGAGGCTGATGAAGATGGGGCGCATGGGCTCCACCGGTCGTGGTCAGCCCGGCATTTCGAGGGTGTTATCGGCGCCCCGGAAGAGCGGATTCCGCCCCCAAAAGCAAATGAGGGTGGCTGGCAGGACGCGGCGTGGCTGCTTAGTGTAGCTACCAAGGTTTTGCTGTGAAGGGCCAGAAAGAGAAGGATTCAGCGAGAAGGAAAAGAAAAAGACATGCTTTGTCCACACCCATTGAGCGCGGAGAAGGGGGAAAAAAAGACTACACAACCACCACCGCCGCACTCTCAAGAGGCCCCGTCGTCGGGCCGCTCGAGAACGGTGAAGTGGATATTATCAACCAGCTCCAGTCAGACTGAAGCTTCACCGTTAGACTATTTGAGAACCCCGGCAGCCGAAAATTTGCAGGGTATATTTGTTTGCTCCAAATGGCCCCACGTTGCTTTCTTGTAGAATCCTTCGAAAACTTCGATATGCTGCGAGGAGGGGAGCGGCTCCTCTCGAGTCTCCGCGTCTCGGCCTCGATAGGTGCTTCTCGTACCCGGCAGCTCGCTACCTATTGATCCCCAGCCCTCGTGGTTCGGCATCTGAATTGTCGCGAAGTATTTACAATCATGGGGGATCGACGCTGCAAGATAAACCTCGGATGCTAGCTCCCAGGGTTATATGAAGCACTACCCTCATCTTAATACATAGCGATACTGCTGCGAGTACCATGCCTAATGAAATTCCAACAATTCCATTTCCTGATGGCCGTAGATCGGATTGATACTTGCCGTCCCCGAGTAGCCCGCAAACCACGTGACATGTGCACCGATGCGGGACCGGACTATCGCCCCCGGTTCCGGCCATATTCCATGACTTGAGCTCCGCTACCTCTTGTCATTGACACCAACAGCATTGGCTCTGGGTCGAAGGGGGGTGGGCGTCTAGAAAAACTAGAGAAAAAGCCTAAACAAGCACAACGGCGCCCCATCTGGTTGGAATGGACCACCGCAAGAGTGAAAGCGATCCGTCTGAACTATCGTCGCAAAGGAACGCCCGCCCCTCTCCGCGGACAATGGCGGCCGGCCAAGCCGGCGTGAGAGGGACCACTGGCCGCATAGTAGGACCAAAAAACCGGTTTTGGGGATATCACCTCGCGCTTGCATGCAGCAGCTGGCGGGAACCTCGTGTTGTCTCTCGCAGATTGGCTTGAGGCGGGAGACGGTGTGAAAGCGGTTGAGCTGGGTTTATGAGCTCCCGCAATCAACACACCGCAAGCTGTGGTTGTGAACCGCATCCCTGGACCATTAATCGCATGGCTCTGAACAGCCATGGCGATCACCGTCTTTCACGAATGTCTGTCTCTTCGTGCGACTGTAAGAGACATGGCGCAGAAGTCTCAGATCTCGACCAGGTGAATGACAGTTATTCTTGTGGAGTTCGCTCCCAGATGTATTGCGGAGAGTTAAAAGACCAAAAGTCATTGGTTGCTCAAACGCGACCAAGTCTTTGACGTGATGTCCAACACGAGTTCTTTTCTTGACATCCGTCTTGACATGTCGTCTGATGAGAGATGTTGCTCTTCGAGCTGAAGTCTGATGCGTCTTCACAAGTGTGAAGATGCCGATATCGTATGGACTGGCTCGTCACTCTGCCGTTACACCACAGACTCAAAGATCGGTTATCAGCAGGCGGTGTCACCATTGTAGTGGTGATCAAGCTTGCCGACCGTGGCCAAGTTTGCAGCGGGGAAGGCGGATATACCGGCTATGAGTATGAGGCTATGAGCACCTCGGTCCTCAGCACAGTAGCTAGCTGCAAGGTGACTTGATTGACGATGTAAAATATGTCACCGTATATTGACCATTGGTCGTGCGATAGTCGGCTTCCCTCCACTCATGCGACGATCGAAGTTTTGATGGGAGGAGTCAGAGAATCAGAGAATCTTGTCATTTCGGCCCTCTTCCCTCGCCTCGAGACCTGCCGTTTTCCCTTGCTTGGCGCATGCGTGACATCAAAGTTCAACCGATCCAATGATCAGATGGCTAGTCGAGTAATAGCGGCTTGAAGATCTCTTCCTTCCTGCAATGAATTGTCCAAGGGGTCTAGAAGGCGGGATGAGGGTGAAATGTCTTGGCCAGCAGCTGTATCTGAGTAAAAGATCTCCGAAAAAGGCTGGATCAGGTATTGGTGGAGACGAGCGTGAACGGAGGTCGTGGGCATGAAGTGGTATGCCGATTTGCGCTCACTTGCACCGACCGTCGAGGAAAGTGGATCTTCCGTAAAACACGGGATATTTCACTGTCGTTACGGTTCCGTACTGCCGGTGTCCAAGGTCCTCCTGACACCGGCAACTCTTCATTGTCTCTGGCAGAGCCTCAAAGCCGTATAATCAGCCCTAGCACCTCGCGAAGCTTAACTTTTCCACAAAGAGTAGATGTGATTACGATGTCTTTGCACTAGAGCGCAAAT